GGGCTAGAGAGTTGAGGACAGGGTAAAAGAGAGACATTGATGTGGAGAGAGTTCAGAGGCAAAGAACGAAGAGACAAGGAGGGGAGCTTGCTTCTTTTCAGGTGTTCCCGTCCTACATTTAAAATGAGATATTGGAAAGTTCCCACCATTTCCCATTTGTTTTACCACGCCCTGCATTATTAAACACCCCCCGCCCCCCCACACACGCGCACACACACACACACACACACACACACACAAAGTGGCTGCTGGGTTCCAACACTACTCCCGCAACCGTGCCTCCGGCTCTGAGCCAGGCCTGCCTGGTCGGGTCTCCCCACCCGACGGGGCGACTTTCAGGAAGCCCTGAAAGTTCCAGAACAAAGAACCGACGCCGCAAGCGCCTCCAGTACCGAAGGAGCCCCGTGGGCCCCGGCCTCAGAGTCGGACCTCTAGGCTGAGCCGGGTTGAAAAGGCCCCCAAGCACTTGGCGGGCGGAAGTTCACGGCTGGGCTGGGCACCGCGGGACCGCCCCACCGCGGCGCCGCCCGGGCCCTGCCCGCCGCCCTCTGCGGCCTGCAGGGCTCGCAGAGCGGAGCGGGCAGCTTTGCAGAGCCGCCCGCAGGCCCGGGAAGTGAGGTCCCCGGCCCAGGAAAGCGATCCATTTTCTCTAACCATTTGCCCGAGAGCTGTCAGGTTAGCGCTGCCTCCTCGGCCACCCAGAGAAGAATGTGTTAAAAATTGCACGGGAGGCCTTCCCCAGACCCAAATATACCACACCAGGGCACTTGCGGCCCCAACCGCCGGTCCCTAACCTCGGCCACCTTTTCCCGTTGAAATATGCACATCGCTCTTCAATAATTTAGACACCTGGGAGACTGGACAAGTATAATTTTTTTTCCCAAACACACGAGCATCCGGGTTGCCATCAATCATGCTTTTGTTTTATGTGAGATGGGCTTTGTGTGTTTAGCTGCCCGGCTTCATCCTATTTGCATGCGGCTATTTAATGGGCATTTATTTTAGCTTTGAAGATCTGCTTAAAAATCTAAACCCAGAAAAGAGGTGGGGGTGGGGCGCCCCCCTCCCCCCCCCCCCCCCCCCCCCCGCTTGTGGTTCGGGTGAATTTGCCTCTGGGGCCCCTTCCTTTCTGGAGACGGGTCCTGCGGGTCTCGATTACAGATGAATTTTGATTCCGAGGTGGGACACGTAATGAAACGGAAAAGATGCGTTCTTTCCCCCTATATGTCAGTGTTTCTTTCTAGCAAACAATGCTCCAGTCAGTATTTGTGTATGAGACAAGTAATTGTGCTCCAAATGCTTAAATAAATCATTGATGGGTGAAATTACACATGCTCACTTAAAGTGTAATGTGATTAAGAGATTATGAGATTGAAGCTAATATCTTGTCTCCCAGCTCCTGGCCCCCAATCTTGACACCAGAAATTTATCAACTACAACTGTCCTGAAATTTACAGATACAATAGGTTTCTATTGACAGCGGATCAAAAACAACCTCTAAAGATAAATAAATAAGTAAAAATATGTATGCGCGTATCTGTATCATACAGGTCGTGGTTTTATTGTGAAAGGACATTAGAAGGGAAGAGGAAAAGACAAGCGATGAGAGCGAGAGGGTGTTCGCCTGTTTTATCTCTCATTTTTAAAAAGTAAATGGCCGGGGGGGGGGGGGGGGGGGGGGGGGAGGGGGACCGTGGCGGGCTCTACGTCTGCGAGCTGATTACTCCCCGTCTGAAAGCGGCTCCATTTCCCGCACGGTGGGTAAGTCCTTTATCGGGGGAAGCCCCGGCCTCGCCCGCAGCCATCCTTCGCCTCGAGGCGCGCGCTGGGCCGGGGCGCGGGAGCCGCTCGGCGACTCCGTAATGACCCGGGTTCGCCGCAGCTGCGCCCTGACCCTTTGTGATGGCGCAGATAGCGCTCGGATGAAATTATGTCCTTCTCCGGGTGTGAAATTACCATGTTTATTAATTGAGCCAGACATTAGCTTTACCTTTTCTTTTTAAGCCGTGAAAATTTGTGATTCAGGGCAAATGATTCTCTGGCAGACGCTGCGCTCCGCACCCTACCCCTCCCGGCCGGCGCCTCCCCTCCCCTCCCTCCCTCCCCTCCCCGCCCCTCCCGGCGCGCCCCTTCCCCCCCTCGTCCCGGGCAGCTCTGGACAGCTTGCTGGCTTTCCAAGCTGGAGAGCCCGGGGAGAAAAAGCAAGCGGGCCTGAGTGTGAGAGCGCGCGTGTGCGTCAGTGCGCACGCGGGTTTTTTTTTTTTTTTTTCCTCCTCGGGAAGTGTTCTCAAACAATAATAATAACCCCCCGACTCGGAGTTACAGCATTTCCCCCAGAATTCTTGATCAGTGAAACCCAAATCGTTTTCGAGACAAAGAAGCATCGATCAGCGACAAAGACAGATTTAACGTATTAAATCTTTATTAAAGTGAAGTCATTCTTATTGAAATGATGTATTGGGTGTTCAAAAAGATTGGATTTTTTTTTTTTTTTTTTTTTTTGCATTGCTAAAGATGGAGTTGGTGGCGGAGGGCAAGCGTTGTGTCTTTTGCCCTTATTGTTCTGGGCTGGGGTAGGGTTACCGGGGCTCTGCCCAAGGTCCCGCGCCCCGGAGAACACTGCCTTGGACTAGGAGAAAGGCTGATCCCTTTCCTTGTGCCTGCCCCTACTTTGATTTCCCGCAGAACAAGTGCTCCCAGTCCCCTCAAACTTCCTGCGTTTGTCGCCACATTTAGGGGAAACTGAGGTACGGCGAGCATGGATGGTTGTCTGAAGTTCGAGAAGTTAGCGACTCCGGCGGGGGTGTGTGGGGGAGTGGGGCTAGACTTTCTCCTCTAGGGTGTTCCTAGGTTTGGGGGAACAAGCCCAAGTTCTCCTGAGAGCCGCCAAGAAGGTCCCTGCGACCCAAGTCCGAAGGGTAAGGAAAGCGTGTGTTCTCGGACCAGAGCGTTCTCGGGCGGTCTCCACATCCTTCCTTCCTCTAGGCCAGGACTGGAGGCAGGAGCTGACCTCTTTCCCCTCTTGAGATAGACCTTCAATTCAACTGGCCCTCCGGACCTCTTGCCCAGCCAAAGGCAGGGAAACCAGGACCAGAAGGAGTTCAGAGAGGGGCCCTCTCACCCCCGCCCCCCCAAGGGACAGCTGCCCCAAATTTTCGGTCTTGCCTGTTAAAGAGCTCAAATTCTTAGCTCCCTAGAAGAGTTGGAAGGGGCGGGGTATCTAAAACTGTAGGCTGCTTCTCAGAAGGGCAGCCACAATTTTAACAAGATGTATTTGTGTCTCCACCTCAGACACACAGACATCCACCCCACTGCAAATGAAATCAATTTCCTTGGAATACTCCACTTTTTTTTTTTCTATCATATTTCAGCAATGGCATGAATGCTATAGTCAGTTGATTCAATTTAGTATTTGCATAAGGAGGAGAAGAAGGTGCCTTTGCAGACTTCAATGAATAGGTCTCTTGTTTGTTGTATGTGTTGTCGGATTGGACTTTTAAATACAGGTAGGGGAGGAGGGCAGTGGGAGGCCACATCCAGGACTGTGTTGCTGCCCATGAGTCAGAAGCAGAGAAGTCACTGCTGGGATGGTAACAAACTATTGTTCCTTGCCTCTCCACATGTCCTCACTCCTCGGGCGCGTCCACCCATTGGAATCCCCTACTTTCGGGTATTTGCGAATTGGAGCTTTCGTGGCCCGTTCCAGGCAGTCCTGCTTTCAAAGACATATCACTTTGGCAAACTGAAGTAGTTCAGTAGCAAAGAGAGATGGCAAGAAGAGAGTTTTATATACTCTGCACAGAGGAAAGGAGCAAACAGATTTTCAGGACAGTCTTCAGAAATAGAGCCAGTTTTAATAGGATCCCAACCCGTGCACTAATTAAATATTTCACAGCTTCCAAATTTAATGTGTTAACGTTGGGATTTTCTTCCCCCACCAAGTCATACAAATTGGCCTTCTGTAACACCATCCCCCACCCCAAGGATCCCCTCCCACACCCACCCACACACACACACACACACACACACTCCCTGCCACAAAAGTCCTACCCACCCGTTTTCTGAATGGCATTACAAAGAATTTTGTTAAAGAAAAGTCAGACTAATTGTTGCCAGAAGACCTGTCTCTTAGAGAAGTCTGGTTTTCATAAGCCAGATTCTGTAAGGGTTGTGGTTAAGTCTAAGCCTAGTAGAAGGTTCTTAAGGTTTTCTGGGCAAAAGAGGGAAATACAAAGAAACACTAAGTTCAGCCAAAATGCTCAGTGGGGAGAGAGCATGAAGAAGATGGGGTGGGAGGGAAATTCAAGAGGATTCCCTGACCTTTTGTTTCTTTCTAGATTCCTCTCCTTGGAAGAGCTTTCTCCAAACTAATACCCACTGAGACAGTTTTCCCAAGTAGCTCTAGCATTGCATGGCCACCGACCAGTGACTTGATTCTCTTGATGTGGCTGGGAGTTATACTAGAGAGGACAGCAAGGGACTTTCCAGCTCCAAGATTCTCTGAAGCACCCCCCTGCTCTCTCAGCTCCAGGCTTGTTCTGGGGAGCCAAAGGTTCCTTCGCAACATGCAGGTAAGCCATGTTGCTGTAGGGGCCGGGCCGGTGCAGACATCCGTGCCAGCTCTCCCCCTGGCTTCCCAGCAAGCTGCTGCTCAACCTTGTAACAGAGTTAGACGGCGGTGCAGGCGGGGGTTGGGGAGAATATCTCTTTGAGTGTTTGACAAAGAAAAACCATAGAGACTTTTAAATACTGAGAACAAACTGAGGGTTGATGGGGGGGGGGAGGGAGGGGAAAGTGGGTGATGGGCGTTGAGGAGGGCACCTGTTGGGATGAGCACTGTCTGTTGTATGGAAACCAATGTGACAATAAATGTCATGTAAAAAAAAAAAAAGAAAGAAAAAGAAGAAGAAAACCCTCTTTAAGACTGGTCTATCAACAGGCTGATTGAATTTTAGATTTTCCTCCTCCAAACTTTCCTCTATTCTGTTCCTGAAGCTTTTATAGGCACAGTCCCAGGGATGGTCAGAAGGCCCCTGGAGTTCACCATCAGAATGGCCTTCCCCACTGCCAGCTCGTTTCAGCCAACCCTGGAAGCTGGAGCCACCACTTTATGTCTCATGATGCAAGAGAGGAAACCCACTCAATTCCCAGCCTCCAAACTGCGTGGGGGATTCCCAAGACCCTTTTGGCTTGCAGAAATATCCTCCAAGGTAGGACTCATCACTCCCATGTTCCCTGATATTCCAAAAACCAGTTCCCTTCCTTGAACTTGGGCCCTTCTGTTCAACTGGCTATTGAGAGTGTGCGTGTGAGAAATCGAATATGCAACAATAATGCCTGCTGAGCACCATGAGAGGGTTCTCCCAGTCCTTGACATCCTGGTCTGTAGTATTTAACTTCTTTCTCCTCCCCAAGATTCCTTCTGAATTCCCTTCCCATTCTCCAATCTTACTGCAGGGGTGACAAGAGGGTCCGAGAAGGTCTTGATGTTACTGTCTTCCTTTGTTGTATAATTACAAAAAGATCATAACAGAAGCAAATGAATAAGAACTTAAAAATGCCTTATTGTCTCTCTCTCTACCCCCCCACCACCACCCCAATCCTCATGGTTTAGGTTCTGAAGGATTCTAACCATACTTTAGTGTTTGATATAACCATACAGAGTAATTTCTTGCACTCAAGATACAAAGCTACTTAGCTAAAAGATGTATTTCGCTTTCCACTTTCCAGGATGAGTAGAGCAGCCTTCTCCCCCAAATCCTATCACTTCCCTTCCCAACAGCCTGAACTTTTTAGGGGAGTGAAGGCAGGAACATTTCCAGTCACCTATTAAAACTGTGGTCACGGAGGTCTGACAACGTAAACACCTGGACCTTGACATCAACAGCAAATCCGGCTCGTCCAGGAGACCTCAAGGGTTTCATTTGACTCCAGATGTGGATCAGGGCTAGTGGGACCAGCGTTGACGCGTCCCTATGAGTGGGAAGAACACATCCCTTTTCGAGCACTTCATAGCCTGGGCTTGTGCAGAGTAAAGGGAAAGACCAGAGAGCCCCATGGTGTATCATGCCCTGAAGCCCACTGCATTTGAAGACCATAAAATATGCAGCAAGCCCATTTGTGTTGCCTTTCTCCTCCTTGATCATCATGAAATAAATTGTTGCAAAAGGAAAATACCTAAGTCCCTGAAATCCCTCTCAATGTAGGGTGAGTGAGATTTGAAGAAAACTGTTCAATTACTCTGACGTTCTCATTTTAGAAACAAGCCACAAAGCTGTGTTCATATAATAGAACTACAGTGTCTACTGTTGGTGTATATTTGCATAATAATTGCTACACAAAATCAAACCTCGAGCTTCGTCTTTTGCATTTGGCTTCTTCCCCCCCCCCCCCCCACAGCATCAAAAATATTTTGTATCTCTGCTTCTAAGGTCTTCTCTAGAGTTCATCTTTCCACTCTGTCATTCTCTCTTTTTCTCCTCATCAATGAAAGCTTTTTCTCCTGAAGCTAGAAATCCAGTCGAACTATTAAATCCGGAGCGTGTAGGACTTCCGTTATTTACCAAGAGGGTATTATCATCAGGCAGAGATCTTCAGATTCAACTTTAGCTGTGCCTGTCACCGGCAACAAAAGAGATATGGGGTATGTACAAGGGAAGCAGCATCAGGGATCTTTTTTGTCGGAGTTTTTTGATAAAGGGACTACCGTAATGTCCTTCAGACAGGGTCCTTCCCTGTTATCTGCCCATTTTTGCTGTCTTTTTCTCCCACTACACTGCCCCAGCACTCCACAGAGCCAGTCAATTTCTGTAATTCCAAAGGAAGAAAAAAAAAAAAAAAACTGAGATGAAACATGTTTTCTCTTTGAGGGTGACCTCTGACCCTTTCCTTTCCAATACACCTGACACCAGGGTTTTAGAATAAAACCCGTTTAGGTCTGGGGTGCTGACGTTGTTTTCTCTCCGTCTGTCCGTCTCTCTCTTCGCCTCTCCCTCTCCTCTCCGTCTTCTCTGAGGCCGAACTCAATGAAAAGTTGTTGCAATAATCGCAGCTCCCTGCTCCGCCAGGGCCCAGGGAGAAGGGCGGAACACGCGGGGTGTTTGGTTAAATGCTCCCGTCGTTCGCAGGGGCTGGGACTTGATAAAAGGAGACAGTTTTCTGAAAAGATTTGATTGAAATGGCGTGTGCCAGGGCTGATGGGAGCCAGCGAGGGACAAAGCGCCGCGAATCCATGGACACTCGAGCAATTATGCCTCCACGCTGAAGGTGGATTAGCGCGCTGGAAAGAAGCATATGTTTGGCCCGGGGCGACACTTCCCCCCGGCTGAGCTTAGAGAATAGGAGCGCGGAGAGCTGCTGGACCCGGAATATCAACTATCTGCGAAGCCCCCCCCCCCCCCCAGCCCAGCCCAGCCAGTCTCCCCGCCCCCGCCCAGAAAAGTCAGAGCGCATTTTTACAAAGAGGGGAGGGCGAGGAGGAGGGAGGGAGGGGGGAAGGGATGCCCAGAAGTGCAAATGGGCCTGGGATTGGCGAGAAGCGCCACCCAAGGCTTTCATCTCGGGTCATGCTAATGGGAGATCCATGCTTGGGCGTTGAGATTCAGAGGGGGTCGGCTAAACGCTCCCCCAGTAGCCTTTCCTTCCCCACTGCTTAAGTAGTTCGGCCCAGGATGTTCGCCCAAACGGGTATTGGAAGGTCAACCAAAATTGTTGCAGTAAAGCAAGATCTTCATGCCTTTTTAAAGATTCAAGTGGCTAATGGGCAGTGTCGCGGGAGGCGCTGAGCGGGCGACGCGGGTTCCTGGCCTCTGGGTGGGTCTAGGTGAAGGAAAGGCCCCGGGAGGGCGGTCAGAGAGTGAGGTTTTGGGCGAGATGCGTGGCGAGTGAAAACAGCTCCGGGAGGCCTGGACGGAAAGAAAGGGTGGGGGTGCCGGGGTCGAGTCCCACGCCGCTCGAGTTGCTTAGAGACCCGGGCCAGGGTTGCTAAAACCGCGCCGCCTCGGGAGTCGTGGAGCCAGAAAGTTTCCCAGATCCTGCCTCCAACCATTAATTAAAGGACCGCTCCTGCGGAAAAGGCCCTTAAAACTCTGACCTGAGCCTCCCGGCTCTCGCTCACTGCACCGGCGAGCGCGCGAAGGGAGGCGGGGGGCGCACGCAAGTCCCAAACCTCTCTCTCAGGGTTCGACTGCAGCTTAATTGGGTCTCACCCGGTCGCGAGCGCCGGTGGCCGCCGCCCAGGCCGCCCGCGCCCCTTGCCGGGGCTGTCGTCTTGGCCCCCTACGGTCCCCACCCTCCCTAACAGTCCCCACCCCCGCCTCCATCCAACCCCGAGCTGGGCTCGAACCTTCAGTCCTCTTTTCCACCGTCACCGCCCCCGCCTCCCACCTCCAAGGCCAGACCTTCAAAATCAAGTTGCGCGTTGCTTCTGATCCAAAGAGGCGCGCGACGGGATTTGGGGGGCGAATGTAGCTAGGACTGCGCGGGGGCCGGCGGGCGGGGGCGGGGGTGGATCCGGCGGCGGGGCGCACGGAGGGGGTGCGGACCGTGCCGCCTCCTCCAGCGCGGGGGTCCTGGCGCCCGGAGCTGAGATCAGGCATTGGGGACCGCCTCCTTGCTGTGGACAAAGGCGCAGCCCAGACTTGGGGGCTCCAAAAAAGACAGGGGGGATCCTGAAATAGGATTTGGTAGCTGACAAAGCAGACGGAAATTTGATCCTAGCATTAACTCAGCGCCTTAGGAAAAAAAAAAAAATCTTTTAAGCTATATTAGCTAAATTTAGTTTGACCAAACCGTTCAAATAAAAATATAAATAAATCTGTATACATAGATGTGTATATTTCCCCAGGGTAGGTTGGATTCTAAAAGGGTGATGAGCGAGAACAATTCAAAAGAGAGCTCAGGGAGATGTGTGCCCTGACAGAAATAGGGGTCCTGGCTTCTTTACTTGCAAAAGTTTAGAGTTGGGGGTGGACAGCTGAACAGCAGGGCATGGTCATACAGAGGCTGGACCACCAAACTCCACTTCAGTTTGAAGTTTCGGGTTTAGGATTGTTGCTGGAATTTCGTGATTTCCATAGAAAAATCATGTGCAGAGAAGGCATAGCCTGGAATTGGGCCACTTAAAAGAAGAAGAAGAAAAGAAAGAAGGAAAATGCCTGTCCTGCTGTTGAAAATATTCCCATCTCCAAATGGAAGTTAATATGGAAAGTCAAGCTAATTCCACGAAGTTTCCCCAAAGATGGTCAGACTCCTCATTAAAAACAGAGAGACAGAAAAGGAAGGAAGCACGGCGGAAAAAGGGGGGGGGGAGTGACAAGGAGGGAGGGAGAGAGAGAGAAGGAAAGAAGAAGGAAGTTAAGGAGGAAGGAAGGAGGGAAGGAAGGAAGGAAGTTAGGAAGGAGAGAAGGAAGGAAGGAAGGAAGGAAGGAAGGAAGGAAGGAAGGAAGGAAAGAAGAAGGAAGGAAGGAAGGAAGTTAGGAAGGAAGGAAGTTAGGAAGGAAGGAAGGAAGGAAGGAAGGAAGGAAGGAAGGAAGGGAATCTCTGTTATAAATACCTTAAGTATCTACTATGGAAAGTTCATCTCCTCTGCATTTCCTTCTCCTCCAACATAGATTTCTCTAGCAATATCCTAAGTGTTGCTTTTTTTCTTGAGAAATAAATCTCCCTGTGAAAGCAAAGTTGGCTTTGTGCTGTCCTTTTCAGACGCCAAAGGTATCAAAGATACACAGTTTTACGTGGGAATAACAGTTAAAGTTTAATCATAGGGCCCTCAGGTTCAGCCTAAAATCTCCTTCACTCTCTCCTTTCCTGTTTCAATCATGACCCTAAAGAGCAGAATGTTATTTTTCAAACACAGGAACCTCCTGTGTACATGAATTGCGTAGGTTTCCATCCCAATATTCTCTTTCTACTCTCATGGCCACCCTGCTGCCCTCAATGGGAAACAGTTACTTCTTGGAGGAAGACTTAACTTGTGTTGGCAATTTGATTGAGAATGTTTCTCATCTATGTCCATGTGGGCAAAGATGAGTTTGGGCTACTGGTTTCGTAGAAAGAAATCAATGTCACGTTCAATCATACAACTGCTCTCTGTTTATAAATACTCCACCTCGGACTAATTCATCCCTGCCTTCAGAAACACAGTTGAGTAAACTCTGATCATTAATGGGGTTTTCGGTTCTAACTCGGGGTTAACTTGGCAAATAAAACTTCTAAGAGGAACCCATAACAAGGTCAAACTTTGTCAGTTTCTCTCCCATGGTGCGTTCCAAGGAGGACAGTATCCTTAAGAGTAGTGTAACACTTGGAAACTGACATGCCATACCTGTGCAGCAATCAAGTTGAATATAAGAAAGGAATTGTTCATTGAAATTCGCAAGGAAAAATATCCCTGAGCACCCCAAGAGGTGATGCAGAGGTGTGAGAACTGTTATTACCTGGCGTGTTGTGTGGTTTCATTCTTCTGGGGTGGATGCTGGGGTGATGTGAGGAGTTGGCTTGGGTTTGTCTGTGGTATGTGGGGTATTTTCTTCTTATCTCCTTGCATTTTAGGTATTTCTCTTTACCACATAGCACTAAGCGATGGGGAAACATGGCTGTGTTTCTTCAAATGCCCAACTTGGATAATCAAGCAAATTAAAGAACAAATTTCACTACTCTCGCCTCAGGATCATTGCCATCGCTGCACCTGTAACTCAAAGAATGAAAACCCTGGTTATTTATGTTGTACTTTCTGCCTCTTGGATCTCTAGCGACTTGACCCGATTTTTATAGCCCTTTTACCCAAGCAATGAGGATTCCTCCCCCCACTTCACCTCCCCCCACGCCCAACCAACCCCATAACTGAGTGGCTTAGGAGGAGATCTGTAACTGGGATGAAGCAGCTGTTGGCTTCATGCCGCCCTCTAACTTGATTATTCTTTGGACACGTTAGGCAAGCATTAGTGATTGATAATGACGCTAATTAACCCCTTTCCTTTCCAAACAGTAAACGGCTGCCAGCAGGATGCTACAAACAATAAATATAAAACACTGCATACATCAATATCTGTTTAAAGCACAACTTCATTTGGGCACATTTAACCATACTGCTTTCAGTTAACAATTTCACTATTTACTCAAGCACTTCTCCAAAAGCCAGAGGAGGGAGGAGGCAGAGGAAGAGAGAGGGTTAAGAAAAGGAGCCTGCAGCTTTAAGACCACAAAAACAAAAACAAAACAAAACAAAAAAAAAACCTCAACAACAACAAAACGCTTGTTATACCTGTCAGCTGCAGCAAAGTTAAGCTCTAATGAAAACCATGCGTAATTTTTTTTTTTTAATTTCAGGTCAATACTTTTTTAAAACTTAATTAATCCAGCTCTGTTCTTAACCTATTTAAACTTAACACAAGGTTGATGACCACATGTGATTTTTTTTCTTTGTGGGGGGGGGGGGGGGCAAGCAGCTCTCCTACCTGACATGGAATTATTATGAATTTACTTTTGATTGAGAAAGAAGTGGGGAGACTGTTTCATAAAGGCTGGTGAAATTCAGATTTTTAGAGGATTTGAGGAAACCAGGGCAAATTTGATCTGATTGCGCAGTCTCACGTAACCTGAGTTGTAAAGAAATGTACATTAAATTTGGAATTTTGATAAATGAATATTCCTAGCAAGTGAATAAAATGTATTCAATTAACTAAAACCCTGTGCACTTCTGAACTGAAGTGGAATCGACTGTAATTGATTTATTTGAAACCAGAGGTTAAGGACTGAATTAGCTAAGTACAACTGGGTATTTCAAGCCACTGACTTCTCAAATGTCAAATCCCTTCTATTTTAAATATTA